TCTGTGTACCTCTATCAGATGTCCATGTACAGCTGTATCCTGGGGCCTCTGTGCACCCCTGGGAGCCTCTCTCTGAGCATAGGTGGACACCTGTGGATCCAGGTGTCTCTGTGCACCCCTGAGAGCCTCTCTCCGAGCATGGGTGGACACCTGTGGATCTAGGTGTCTCTGCACGTACCTGCCTCATATTGACTCCACAGGTGACTCAGCACATCGCCACCTGCCAGCCCCTCTCCAGAGCCCTGGACAATGGCCGTGTGATCCTGTGTGACATGATGGCTGACCCCTGGGTGAGTGTCCCCTGGCTCATCAGGGCCTTGTGGACATTGAGGCCCTCCACGGCAGGGGCAGTGTGAGCCGGTCCTAAGCGAGGCAGGGCCCCTGCTTGCCAAGCCCGTACCCTGGCCCTTCCCCAAAGCCCTCAGCTTTGATCACCCCTTCACCGTGCCTCTCAGTGAATCAGCGGAGGAGGTGGGGTAAAAGGACAGGAAGGAGTCTCTTTCTAGCCAAGACGGGCTGACCCCCAGCGCCTGTTCCAGAATGCCTTCTGGTTCTGCTTGGCATGGTGCACCTTCTTCTTGATCCCGAGCATCATCTTTGCTGTCAAGACCTCCAAATATTTCCGCCCCATCCGGAAACGTCTCAGGTGAGGGGGCTGTCAGGATCCCTGTGGGCAGTGGAGGCCCAGGATGGAGTCCCTGAAGCTGCCGGCCCCAGCCCCCTGCCACAGCCCACTCCTGACACCTGCCAGGAAGAGGACGGGGCATGGCCAAGTATTGAAGAGCCGCATACTCTGAGGAGCTCCAGGGTCAAAAAGTTGTCCCATATGTCTGTCCTGTATCCTTCTTGCTGCAATATGTGCACCCAGGCATAGCTTCTTGGACTTCTTCCTGTCCCTGGAGGGCTTCTCAGAAAGGAAAATCAGAGCTCTAGGCTTTGTCCCTGTGTCCAGGGCTGAGGGCTTGTGGCTGGGGCCTCATTCTCTTTCTGCGGGTGCCACAGCTCCACCAGCTCCGAGGAGACGCAGCTCTTCCACATCCCCCGTGTCACTTCCCTGACGCTGTAGCAGCCCAGTGGGTGAGTTCATTTCCCCTTTACTCCTCAGTCCTAGGGACGGAGGGAACCGGGCTGGAATCTAGAGTGTTTGGGCCCCAGGAGGGCAGGAAGGTATGGGGACTTGGCAGGGCTTCGGTGTTGGGCCTGGCTCAACAAGTTGGTCGTGCTGTTGGACTGAGGTCTGAGCCGGGCTCTCACCCTCGCTCCCCCACCTGTTTCCTTCTCAATCCACAACAGGGATATTTGCTGATGGCAAGGTGATGTCCCTGGGGCTACCTGTCTGAGCTCTTCCCTCTCTGACTCAGCCCCCAGAGCCCAGACGGGCGCCCAGGCCTGGATTGTCCTCCCACTCTGGTTTATCACCACTCTCCCCTCTCCCTGCCTGTGCACCGCTCCCCCACCCCTTGACTCCTCTCCGAGCCTCTTGCCCCTTTTCTTCATCTGACCTCCCCACCTGCCCCAACTTCACAATGGCCCCTCCCCAGCCCCTGCTTCCTCCCCTCAGGGGAGCCTTTTTCCTCCTTTGTCCCCTCTTTACCTTATTCCCATCACTGCCTGTCCCAAACCATGGTGTTTTCAATCGCTTCATTTACACGTGAGAGCCGAACAATGAATGAGGAAGACTGAAGAAGAGCTGATGCCTTTGAATTACGGTGTTGGTGAAGAACATTGACTCTACCATGGACTGCCAGAAGAACGAACAGATCTGTTTTGGAAAAAGTACAGCCAGAATGCTCCTTAGAAGTGAGGATGGCGAGACTTTGTCTCATGTACTTTGGACATGTTATCAGAAGGGACCAGTCCCTGGAGAAGGACATCATACTTGGTAAATTACAGGGTCAGCAAAAAAGAGTAAGACCCTCAACAAAATACATTGACACAGTGGCTGCAAAATGGGGTCAAACATAGCAACAATTGAGAGGATGGCGCAGGACTGGGCAGTGTTTTGTTCTGTTGTACATGGGGTCACTATGAGTTGGAACCAACTTGACAGCATCTAACAACAACAACCTTGCTGGCTTCCAGAGACCCCTCCAACCCAACCAAACTGATCTGGTCAAGTCACCAAGCAGGTGAGGGGTTGACACAGCCGGGCCTGGACTTGCTGAGGGAGTATCATGTCCATTACAAGGACTGGCTGCGGGCGCTGCCTCACAGCCCCTAACCCTGCATTGCCCCGGGGCCTTGGCCCCAGCCTGGATTTACTGGGCCCCCAGCCAAAGTGAGGAGGGCCTGCCTGTGAAGACCCAGCCTCCGTGCCTTCCCCCTGGGTTAGAAATAGCACTACTGTCCCTCAGCTCCTTCCTAGGAAGGGAACTGGGACCTGGGCCTGAGCAGGAACTCCTCTTTGGCTCCCTGGAACCTAGCATCTTCCACCGCCCCCACCCAGCTTTCCTGGCAGGGACCTGGTGGCCAGAACAGGACATTGCACTATGGCCCTTACCCCTTCTATCCTGTGCATGGGCCTGGGTCATCCGTATCCTATCCCTGTGTGCTGGACCCAGAGTTACGGAAACAAGGAAGAGGAAAGAGAAGATGGGTGGGTCGTCAGATCGATTAAAATGTTGTCACTTTCTTAAGCCTTGGTCTTGGGTCCTTGAAACCAGATCTCCCAGGCTGGGGCCCTGTACACAGTTGGCACTTAATGAGTGTTTGTGGAGAGGAGAATCCCAAGGCCTCCCTGACTACAGGCATCCAGGGATTGTCCGAGAAATCAGCAGAAGGGGAGTGGGACCGACTCTGGGAGCAGGTAGTCAGGAGCAGGCAGACCTGGTTCACATCCTGGCTCTGACATGTTGCTACCTTGAACATGATACTTAGGTCCCCTAAATCTCAGTTTCTCCATTTGTAAAGTGGAGAATATAATCATAGCCCCCCCACCCCCCACCAAGGGTCGTGAAAATTTAATGTGATGTTGCTTGGAAAACACTTGGCAGGGGCCTGGCACAGAACAAATGCTCAGCAGGTGGAAGCTGCTGTTTTTGCCATGACTGCTGTAGGCCAGGGCAGAGCTCGGGTCTGGACAGGTACAGGGGAAGAAGGAGACGGATCTCTGTTCTCAGAGGTGGAAAGCCCTTTATGGTTGTGGTCTGCGGACTTTCGGAGCATGTCTATTTTTAACTGCATCTTACAAATCAGAGATAAATTTGCTGCTGAAATTAGGACAGGGCATATACAACGTATTGTCACTAGTGCAAGCACATTCACAAATGAGCATCCCTGAATGTAGCCCAATCCCCTGTTTTTGCCTTTTTCCCAGAGGTTTTTTACTTGATACTCATCTGTTGATCTGTGCAGGGGAAGTAGTGCCTTGCATTTTAAGAATGCAATTGATGGGATAAAAGAAATTGAAATTAAACAAAAAAAAATTCTAGTTCTTTATCAAAATTGCCTATCTTATCTTTTACATATTTGTGCATACTAAACATAAAATCAAAACCAAACCCACTGCCATCGAGTTGATTCTGACTCATAGTGGCCATATAGGACAGAGTAGAACTGCCATATGGGGCTTCCAAGGAGCAGCCGGTGGATTCGAACTGCTGACCTTTTGGTTAGCAGCTGTAGCTCTTAACCATTGTGCCACCAGGGCTCCATATTAAGCATAGTTATTTTATTTTAAAGTTTAATGACTCCCTTATATGGAGTTTTCATGGGTCTGTTTCTAGTGTCTATTGTTTCTCTTGGCTTTTGTTGTTTTTTTTTTTTTTTTTTTTTTGTCTCCTCATGTTCTGGAATTCATGTAGATAGAATAATATCACCTGCAATTAATTGATTTTTAATTCTTCATTTCTTTTTTTTTTTTTTTTTTTTTCCTTGTCTCCTCATATACTTGACAATTTTTTATGGAATACCACACATTGTAACTGAAAACCCGTAGAAATAATTGAGGCCTAGGCTGAAGTTATCTTCCCTCAAGAGGATTTATGTTTACTTCTGGCAGGTAGCTTGGAGTGTGAGCAAACTGGGATCATTTTAATCCTCTTTCAGGGACTGAGATGATTTGGAGATGGATCGTAGCCCCTTGGAGGACTAATCTACTTCCAGTTCATTCTTATTCTTAGGATCAAGCTCTTTAGGGTCCCAACAGAAGGCACAAAAGATTTGCCACTCCCTCCTCTTGGTGGGTCTAGTTTTTGCCTCCTTAGCCCCAGAGACTATTAAAACCTCTGCTCAGCCTATTAGCCATGTCTTGTGGAATCAGCAGACCCTCCTAAGGAGAAAGTAACCCAGATGCCAGGCACAGTCTCTGGGTTCCTTTTTTTCCCTAAATCTTGGCCCTGTGATATTTCACTGCCTGTCTACTCCCCAATGCCCTTAGTCAGGCTTAAAAAATGTTTTGTGTAGTTTTTTCAGTTGTCCTCTGCTGAGAATTTGGTCCAAATTACTTAGTCCACCGTTATTAAAAGTAGTGGTTCTGAAAAATTAACGTTTTCCCGCCTATGCATTGGGAAAAGGCTGCCACGGTTTGAATTCAGTATCCAGAAGCCTCAGCTCAGCCACTTGAACACGGGCTTTTCAAAGGAACTTAGTCTGGAGACCGTTGCTATTTATACTCGTAACCTGGCAGTGGGGTAGCCCTCCAGCAGTTGATAAAGAGACAGAAACAGACACAGAGAAAAATGTAATACATATTTTCCTGGTTTTAAAATGCTGGAGCCCTAAAATGCTAATCCCACTGTTTTTGTATAAGGACTTCACATTTAATAAAGCCCTGTCATGGTCCCAGTCTCATCTGTCATCATGACAGTCCCTGAAGGGGGTGGGAATGATTATCCTTGTTTCATGGGTGAGCAAACTGAAGCTCAGAGAGTTATGTGCGATTCAGGTCTCCTACTTTTGGTGGCCCTGGAGGTTTCCACCAGGATGCACTGCACTGCCAGTCAACATTCCCTGTGGGTGTGTGGGAAAGAGGCCCTGTCTCCAAGGAGAAACTTGATCCAAGTGTTCTTGCTGTCCCTGTGGCAGAAGGGATGACAGATTGGGGGCCTTAGGAGTTCTGCCAGATACTCCCGCCTGGCCATCCCAGAGTAAAAGGCCTCATGAGCCATGAGTGGCAGATTTTGCCAAAGAAATACCACATGGACCAGAACATCTGAGGTCCCAGGTGGCTGGTCAGGGCAGTTCCAGCTGACATGAAGGGAAAGCCACATGACGGGGGTTAGAGCCTCCCTGAGGCCCATGTGAAATGCCCGGGCCAGGGGGACAGCAGGGAGGTTCCCGGCAATGGCCAGGCTCTGAGGACCTTTGGAGGTGACCACAAGAGGAAGTAGTAGCTTTAAACCTCCGTCAACCCCAGAGAGCCATTCCAGGAACAGTTCCAGCTAGAGGCTGACCACAGCCCCTGACCCTACCCCACCAGGCCCGCGCTTCGACTTCAGAGCAAGAGAGCTGAAGATGCCATGGGCCTGGACATGGGGTGAGACTGTTGTGGGATGTGAAGTGACTGTTTGTGCCTCCCTACGAGGAAACATCCTGGGCCCGCCATGTTTCCATCCAGAGAAGAGAGGACCAGCTCGTGGGAGAGACTTAAAGGGCCAGTGGAAGAGAGAAACTTGGTTGCTTTCCAGTTCCACAGCTGTGCTGGGTCAGCATCGGGTGACCGTTTCCGAGTGCCGTGGTGTCCAGAGGAGGGCTTTTTTTGGGCAGCAGATGTCTGCTGAGCTCCTGTGAAGAGAGGGCTTGACAAGAGTGGGGAGACCCATCTTCCCTTCACGGAGCCTTCCTCACAGGCAAGCGGCCCAAACCCTGAGATTGTCCAAGAGATTTATCTCTCGGGGGCCTCAGCCAGGGGTGGGCAGAGCCAGGACCCAACCAAAGAAAGGGCCTGGGTGTGCGTGAGAGTAGGGACCACTAAAAAACCCCCCAAACATAAAGCAGTTGCCACCAAGTGGATTCTGACTCGTGTGTCGGAGTGGAGCTGTGCTGCGTAGTTTCCAGGGGCTGGTTTTTTGGAAGCAGATCACCAGGACTTTCTTCCCAGATGCCTCTGGGTGGACTGAAACCTCCAACCTTCTAGTTAGCAGCCGAGCGCCTTAACGGTTTGCACCACCAGGGACTCCTAACCAGCTGGAATGGCTTGCCACTGCCTTCTCTCAAAGTTGTCACATAAGGAAACGCACCCAGGCTTGAAATGATCCCTTCCTTCCCCACTTCCCCGCCCCGCCCTTCCTTTGTCTCCCCCACCCCGTGGGAGGAAAACCAGAGCTGAAACCTGCCAGACAGAAGTGTTCCCAGCTGACAAGCAAGGCCCTTCTGTGGCCTTTCTTAACATTTCTGGGTCTGATACTCTGCCAAAAATCTTTGGAAAATCTGAGATTCTCCTGAGATAATTTGCGGATGCACGCGTGCCCACACCACGTATGCCGAATGGGCCTGCATTCCTCCTGACCCAGTGGAGAAGCCAGCCGGAAGTGCCTGGGCTCCAGTCAAGCCCTGACGGCAGGGAGGAAGGCAGGAGGTGGGGACAGGGCAGGGGGTGGTGGACAAGGGACACAGCAGGACACATACTCCCCACACCTGTGCTTTAGGAGGAGAGACCCCTTGGGCGGCAGCTGTACTGGGAGGCTTCTGGGCTGAGCCTGGGAGGGAGGGCGATTGTCCTGAGCCTGTTTTGTCCCAGACTGTTAACTCCAAACAAGGAATCTTTTTTTTTTTTTTAATTGTACTTAGGCTTACAGAAGAAATATTTTCTCATGAAACAGAAGTACACATGTTGTTTTATGACATTGGTTAACAACCCCACAACATATCAACCCTCTTACTTCTCAACCTCTTTTTTTTTTT